AGTGCTTGCTCTGAAGTTGGGAACTCAGGTATGGTCCCCAAAACACTGCTGGGAGTGACCTCAAACACCCTTCACATATTTATTCTATTATATTAATAAACAGATAACATACAGATTTGTTTAGGACTGGTGCCAGTTAAGTCCAGTGAATGGAATAGTCAGCCTATGCTCTCTAGTTGTAGTTCTAAACTTAATGTGTGACGTTAGGTAGTGGGTTTAATCTGTTTGTGCCTCAATGTCCTCATCTGTTTAAATAGACTTAATGATATTACTTCTCTCATAGGAATGTCATGAAGATGAAGTAAGACGGTGCTTCAAATGGGCTACAGGTGTGTCCCAGAGTCTACCTCTTTTCTCATTCCAGATACCAGATGCTCTGAGTTGAATTGTTGGCCCACCATCCCCACCAAGTCATGCTGATATCAGAGACAGGTCATTAAAAAATGTTAAGTGGGGGAGCAGAGAGAAAGCACATGCTTTGCATGTAAGAGCACTGGGTTTTATCCCTGGTACCTCATGAACCCCTTTCCTTGAGCACCCAAACAAATGGAAAATGTGGTCATAAGGGTAGGCCCTATGTAGCCTGACTAGTGTCCTTGAAAGGAGGTTAGGACAGACAGAGAGCAGACGGCCAGGCCTCAAAAGGAACCAATCCTGCTGACTCCTTGACTTTGGATTTCTAGCATCTAGAACTGGGAGAAAATACATTTGTTGTTTAAGAATCAGATTAAGTGCAAGTCTATCGTATTTGTACTGGCTGTCTCCCAGCAGACTAAAATGCCAGTAATGGACAAAGGTAGGCCATTAGAGTCCTAAATTCAGTGTTATGTAAATCCTATTTTTTGTGTGCCATGACTTGGAAGACATTTGAGAAGCATGAAGATAAGATACAGACCTAATACACCTGGCTTCACCCCTGCCCTACAGATAAGATTCACCGTGTGGCAGGAAGATTCACTGTGTCTCGTTATTCTGATTTGTGAAACTAAACGTAAGGAGAATCTCACTGTTTACTTCAGCATTATTTATTGTATTTTCCACAGCATTATTGTTGTGAATTGATTGCGCACATTTACAAGAACCCCAACTTTATTATCTGATAGAGTCTTACTTGAAACATGGCAGTAGAGGGGAGAAGGAGAGTTTTTTCAATGAGCAGGTAAGCATGTGAATGAATAACAATTTGATGGCAAGAGCTTGAATCTCCTGGGTCTAGTCCCTTACAGAAAGCCAGAATCACCTCTGAAAGTGAAAAGGTACATTTCGGTGACCTGAAAACATAACATTCTACTATTACATAAGAAGCACACATAATATTACTTTGCTTATTAAAACAGTTGCTTAAAATTATACACCTTTAGTACAATGAGTTGTGAAGCATCAGCAATTTCTCCAAAGACATTTTATTTACATTTCTGGGTCATTCTTGGCATTGTAGAGATCGTCTGGTGAGGAAACCCAGCAAAGCATGCACTTCAGCCCTTCTAGCTATCTCTGCCACTGCCAGTCCCTTCCCTGTGCCCAGTTTGGGAACTCTAAGGTCACCCCTAGTATTGTTAAATATCAAACCTGGGACTCCTGCGTGTAAAACATGAACACTAGCCCTTTGAGCTCCAATATTTTGGACATTTTCTTTGAGACAACCACTGAACTTTAAGACTGGGGAGTTCATGCAAAGGGACAGAATATGTTTTTGAGACACAGAAGAGAGCCTGGGTTTAGAAGGCTGTAATTTCCTCATTTCCCTTTGCCAGCAAGTCAGAGAACTGACTTTCAGGTTAGGAAAAGGTGGGCCTGTGCTGTACAAGTCAGGTCCCAGGGACCCTAGGGCCCAGCCAAGCATTTATACTATAGCCAGTGAAATGAGGAATTAGGCTTTAATTTTGACAGATTTAAAAACTGATACGGGGCTAGACAGTACCATGGTTAAGGCACTATCTTTGCATATGGCCATCCCTAGTTCGATCAAGTATCATAGGTCACTCCTGAGCCCAGAGCCCAGAGCAGCCCCTGAGCATAGTGGGCTGTGGCTTCAGCTTCACCCCCCCCCCAATCCTTATAGAAAAAAATGCCATATCCGTAATGTGTGGGGTTTTGACTTTAAGTTTGTGCTCTAAATACATATCAGATTGGAATATTGTATTAAAAAATATAAACTATCTTAATACTTTTTTTTTTCCTTGATGTTTGTGTGTGGGGTGTGTGTGTGTGTGGGGGGGTGGGGTTCATACCTGGCGATGCTCAGAGAATAATCCTAGTTCTGCACTTGGGATTTACTCCTGCCGGGCTCGAGTATGGGATATGGGATGCCCAGGATCAACTCCAGGCCAGCTGCATGCAAGGCAAATGCCCTACCCTCTGTACTCTCTCCAGTTCCTCTTAATACATATTTATACTACATGTTGAAATACTATTTAGTGAATGTTAGATTAAATACTCTATCCATTAAAATAATGTTTTTTTTTAAATGTGGCAACTGAAAAATTTTAAGTTGCGTATTGGTTCACAGTGTACTTTTCTTAAACAGCATGGAGGTTGGCTATCATGAGCTAAACTTGACTTAGTCATATGACTGTCCTGAATAATTATCCAGCTACCCGGAACAAGTAGTTAAAAATTCACTGACTTTGGCAAATAGCTCAAAGGGCTGAAAGCAGGCTTGGTATACAGGAGCCCCAGTTCCAACCCCGGCACCAGAGGGTCCTCTGAGCATCTCCAGGAGCAACACTAGAGCGCGATGCTGAAGTAGCCCCTGATTACTTCTGGGTATAGTCCCCAAACAATAAACTTGGATCAGTGTGTATCTTCTAGGGAAAATGTGGGTCAGCAGACGTTAAAGGACTGGTATAAGCTTTGCCGTTTTCGTTTTTAATGAGTTTATTATTATTTGAATCCATACCCAACAGAGCTCAGGGATTACTCTAGGATTGATGTTTAGGAGAAATCACTCCTGGTAACGCTTCTGGGAACATGAGGTGACAGGGATTGATCTGAACTTCCTACATGCAAAGTATGTGCTCAACCCATTGTGTTAGTTATCTCTCTGGACCAACTTTTGAATTTTAAAAATAAGGTTGCAAGACTGGAGAGAGAATATAGTGGGTAAGGCACTTACCTTACATGTGGCCAATGTGGGTTTGATCCATTGGTCTGAGCCCCACCAGGAGTAATCCCTGAACACAGAGCCAGTAGTAAGCCCTGAGCACTGTTTGGTATGGTCCAATCCCCCTATCCCAAATAAAGAAAGAATAAGGCTGAAACAAATAGTATAGATGACTAAATAAAAACCTTACTTAATGCTTAGGGTACTAAATAATAAAATATATCTTTATGCTAGGGCTGGAGTGATAGCACAGCGGTAGGGCGTTTGCCTTGCATGCAGCCAGTTCGGCCGAGCCGGGTTCAATTCCTCTGCCCCTCTTGGAGAGCCCGGCAAGCTACTGAGAGTATCTCGCCCGCATGGCAAAGCCTGGCAAGCTACCCATGATGTATTCTATATGCCAAACACAGTAACAAGTCTCAAAATAGAGATGTTACTGGGCCCGCTTCTAGCAAATCGATGAACAACGGGAGGACAGATCTTTATGCTATCAGACTTAACAATGATAGGACTCATTTTGGAAAAATTGTGAAGTATTACATAATAAACATAGCTTGGGAAGTGTGTAATTAAAATATATGTAGATGAATGAATTCCACTCTGAATCACCCACATTCTAATTTGGGCTAATTCTTTTAATCCTCGGGTTCTCTTTTTCTCTCACATTTCCTAAACTATTTTGCTGCACTTTAAAGTTTTTCTAATCTTCAATACAACTAAATAAATGTTCTATTTCTTTAACTGCCCAAAAAGTTAATTCAGGTAGAACAAAAGGGAATGCCCTGCTACAGAGGCAGGGGACCATATGGGATGCCGGGAATCGAACCTGGGTCGGCCACATGTGAGGCAAACACCCTACCCACTGTACTATTGCTCCAGCCTTCTCAAAATTATTTTTAGGATCTATATTTCACGTTGGTGGACTAAGCATGCTGGTCCTGCATAGGACTTCTGGGAGCTGGCACTCAGAAACTGGCCTCCCTTTTGGGCAGAGCTGAGGAAAGGCTCCTGCTCTCTGGTCCTGCATGGAGGGTCTTCCCAGAACACAGGTTATGAGAAGTCAACCCAAGAACACCTCTTGTAGGAAGGGGCCTTTGAAATGCAGAGCTGTTCAGGGCCCCCTGTAAGGAATGAAGGGTTGGAAGTAGTCACTTAGCCGTGACACTGAGCCTCAGTTTCATCTGTAAGAATGATAAAAATTTTTTAAAATTTCTGGAGCATATGGAGCAATAGCAGTGGTGGGCGTTTGCCTTGCGCACAGCCCACCCGGCCGAGCCGGGTTTGATTTTTCCGCCCCTCTCAGAGAGCCGGCAAGCTACTGAGAGTATCTCACCCGCATGGCAAAGTCTGGCAAGCTACCCGTGACATATTCGATATGCCAAACACAGTAACAACAAGTCTCACGATGGAGATGTTACTGGGCCCGCTTGAGCAAATTGATGAACAATGGGAAGACAGTGCTACATGCTGCCTGAGAGGGCTGGAGTGATAGCACAGCGGGTAGGGTGTTTGCCTTGCACAAGGCTGACCCAGGTTTGATTCTTCCGCCCCACTCAGAGGGCCCAGCAAGCTACCAAGAGTTTCTCACCCGCATGGCAAAGCCTGGCAAGCTACCCGTGACGTTTTCGATATGCCAAAAACAGTAAGAAGTCTCCCAATGGAGACGTTACTGGTGCCTGATTGAGCAAATTGATAAACAATGGGAGGACAGTGCTACAGTGCTGTTTTTCTTTAAGTGTATTCATTTCGTGGGATTACCCTACCTAGTAAAAGATTTTAATCAATTCCCATCTCCAGAAAGTTATCAGACACAATACACAACAGAGATCAATTAGAGTTGAATATATTACACTTTAATTACAATGAATAAAATTTTTATTCCAGAATACTTAAAGGAGCTTTAACTTCATCATGAAGATCAAATATCATTGCTGACAAAAATTCAGCTCATTTGGGTGAATGCCGTGATCCAATTAATATTTTGAACTTTTACATTTTCAGCAAGCTGCTTTTGAAAAACATGTAAACCACTGTTATTCAGAAAAGCTGAGTTTAGAATTACAAAATAATCACTTAATTTTTACTTTATTATGTGAATTTTGAGTTAAATGGACATTTGGGTTATGTATCGTTGAGTTTACCTTAAACATGGCACAAGATCGCTGCACAGAGGTTGAATTATGTCTTAAGGATTGGAAATCATAAGGATGAACTCACCCATATTTTAATGTCATACACAGAACTGACTTTTTGTGGCAATTGTGTTGCCTAAGAGAGATAAGAGAGTGCAACCAAATTCCACCCAACACAGCTACCATGTGACTGTTCTAAAAACAGAAAAAATGTAACACATAAGGTCAGCAAAAACTATGGCTGAGAAAACTGAATACAGGAAAGACTAAATCAGAGCTCTAACCTTTTAATACAGTGAATGCAAATGAAAATCATTTGTCAACGCTGAGCTGCCAATCCACATTGGTACTATCCAAATCAGTGCTATATTTAAGAGCTGATCCACACATCTTGCTGCCTGAATGGAAAGCAATAAATACCTGTAGCTATCACATGTCAGTAAGGACCTGTGGGTGAATGTTTCAGAAAGCCTGGCTTTATCCCTCAATCCAGTTATGTCTGGTTCATGAAGAGACCAAGAGAGCAGTCAGACATGTTTTCAGGTCAGCTCTGCTCCGGGGGAAGGGCTGTGGGCTGGGGCACATGGTGGGGGTTCAGTGGGGAAAGCGGGTTCCTGTGTCAGCTGGAGGTGCTGAGCTGGATCAGAAGCACTTGCTGCTAAGTGGAGCTCCCTGGTCTGCTCTTGATGGGCATGAAGATGTTCCAGGGTCTCCTTGGACAGCGTGATGACATGCACTGGCTCAGTCTGGGAGGGTTCCATCTGGCCTTCAATCATACTGAGGCTCTGAATGTGCTCTGTTGGCTCCGGTTGAGCTGAAAGAATTAAGTTCTGCAGTTGTTCGGGCTGCTGTGTGAGCAGGGTGAGATTGGCAGCCTGGTCCGCAGTCATATTCTGGGAGCTTTCTGCGGTGACGATGCTGATGCCCTGGCTGGGACCCGGCATGAAATTGAGGTTATGTACAGAATCGGTGACCAGCAGCTGGATTTCCTGCTCTCCAGAGGTAGAGAGTTGATAGGGCTGTAGCTGAAGAATATTCCTGACCTCTTCAGTACTATTATTATTGCCAGAAATATTGCTGGGATCTGCTGCGTGTTTCTCTTTGCTGTGTATTTTCAAGTGAGCCTTCAAGTTGTCTAAGCGAGCAAACTGCAAGTTACACTCAGGGCAGGAGAAGGGCTTCTTGCCTGTGTGGAGAATGCAGTGTCTCCTCTTGGCACTGGAGTCAGAGAAGGATTTGCCACATGTGCTGCATGAGTATGGCTTTTCTCCTCTGCAAGAAGAGACATTTTACCTTAAGGACAGAAAGAAGCTATTTATGACTGCTTAATTAGGGAACAGTCAGGAAAAGAGGAAAATAAATTCTGCTGGGAGGCCTGTCATGGGTTCTCCTATAGATACGTACACTTGTGAGCAAGTCCCAACCTGCATGGGCTTCATAATCAAAAGGTGTGCTTGGGCTTGAGGCAAGGTGGTAGGTAGGCACAGGCCCAGAAAGTTAATTGTGTTTCAGAATGTGGATTTCGGATAAGAAAGCAAACATTTGTACTTGCATATTATAATTTGTTTCTTCTCTTAGAGCCAATTCTTAGACTCTAATGGTAAAATAAATACAAGATTATAGCCCCTAATTATTTGTGGTGCTTCTAGGAGAACTACTAAATCAAATGTGAAAGTAAATGAATAAAATGTTTATTCAGAGAACATTCATCTCTTTTTTAAAAATAATGGTAATTTTTATGAATTTGGTATACAAAGTCTTTGCAACTCCATCACCACCAAATAGAAACAAAAAAATTTGTTTTTTAAATTTAGGCTTTAAGACAGTCTCTGACCCCAAATAAAATTCTGGAAAATGAAATAGTATTGTAGACGTCTGCTAATCAGAACTGAATCTCCTGATTTTGCCTCAATGAGAAATTCATTTATAGATAAGGGAAGAAAAAAATAGCATAACAAATTTTATTAGAATTTTTAAAAGTTCCTCCCCGCCCCGACCAGGGCTCCGGCAGTCGAAGACCTCCAGGACCAGCCACCACCATGCTGAGACCACTCTCCGCACACATGAAGGTACTGGCAGAGGGACAAAGCCATGCGGGTTACGGGGCCGAGATCTCCAAGCCTACTCAGACTGGGGCCAACCATCCTCCACCCAGATCCTCCAAATTCCAGTAGGCGAGGTACACACCCACCAACTGGCCCCCTAGCGCTGTGTAATCCCATCAGCGGCCAAGACTCAGAGACTATAAAAACCAGCTCCTGGAACCGCGCGGCCACATTCGCGGCTGCGCGACATCTTATTATGACATCTTATTATCTCACTCCTACTTTGGACAAACTGGCAGGCTACCAAATGTAGCCTGCTCACACGGCAGAGTCTGGCAAACTCCCCGTGGCGTACCCAATATGCCAAATACCAGTAACAATGATGGGTCTCATTCTCCTAAAGAGCCTTGAATATAACCTCAGGGCTAGGATGAAAGAGACGTTACTGGGGCCTGCTCAAGGCAATCGACGAATAACAGGATGATTTGTGATTTGTGATTTGTTTTAAAAGTTCTACTTTGGGGAAGAGAATGACATTAGGAGCATCTGTCCCCCTACTGACCACCCACGTTCAATAAGGATCTAACGTGAGAAAAAGAACCCCAGAACCTTACCGATGGATTCGGATGTGGGTCTGAAGGGAACTCTTGGCTGTGAAGGATTTGCCACAGATTTCACAAGTAAATGGCTTCTCACCTAAAAGGAGGAAAGGGTTCAGAGATTCACATGCAACGTGAAACAGAGGCAGAAACCATTCATGCTTTCTTGCTGTGAAAAAAAGAACAAAGACGATTCCACTTGAATCCTCAATAAAGAAGAGAGGAATGAAATGTTTCCAAGTTGCTATGAAGTGCCCATGCACTGTAAGGAGCATCAAGAGCCTGTGACAGGGTGCGGTGGCACTCGGCCTGAGGACTGGAAAGAGGGCTACAGGATGGCGTGCTGGACACAAACGGTAGACCATATCCCCTGATGTGACTACACACACATGTCATACCATGTGGCTAAGGGGCATTCCCCTCCTCTTTTTTTAACGTATTGTGGGGGCAGGGGGGCACACGTAGCTCTGTGCTAGGGATCACTCCTGGTGATGCTTGGGGAACCATGTGATGCTGAGGATGGAACCTGGGTCTCCTGCCTGCAGAGCATGTGCTCAGCCTTGTCCCCAGCCCCTAGGAAGCCCTCCAGACATTCAGAAGACCCCTTGTACATCATATCCACTGGCACCCTAGCTCCAACCCACCTCCCCTCGGCATCTCTCATATTTCCTACTTGTGCTTGTGCTCCTTCTTGTCCATGACCAGTGCGGCCAGCCATACTGATCACGGGCAAGAGGGAGCATGAAAAGAGGTAATGAGCCAAGACAGATGAGCCATGTTTTGGCTGCAAATAGTTCCTCATTCTGAGAAAGACGCACAGATCTCTGGCCCACAAGGATCAAAGATCTGTCAGAACACGCCCACCTTCGTCTCAAATCTCTCTGACTTCAGCTGGCCCCTCTTGTCCACTGATGTAGCCTCTCAGACTCTTGAAGAGTCACAGGCACCACACCCAAGCCAGCCACACTGCTCTGGATCTTTCATTCCCCTTCCCTCCCCAGGGTCTGCTGACACGGGTTCCAGTCTTCAAGTCTATGCAAAGGTCACTTGACTGATGCAATTTCATCACCACTGAAAAGCACCCTCCACCCCCATCATGTCTAAGTCCTGCTCCCAAGCTAATTTTGCCACTGTGCTCTTCCCTCTTTACAAACTGTGCATGTCATTTATGATGGATATTCACCATCTTAAAACAGGGGGGCCAGTGAGCCTGTCCCCTCCTAGTATCCCAGTGCCTAGATGTGGGTCTGGCACAATGGAAATCCTTGTCAAGTGAATTGAGTCGACCCTACACTGAAATAACACACACCAGTATGTATCACTGGTGGCTCACCTGGATGTCCCACTGAATGGTGTATACCACTAGTGGCTCTCACTTGTACATCACATTGAATAGACTGTACCAATAGAAATGGTTATATGGTTGCAACCCTTCCTATTACACTCTAGTCAAAACAAAGCAGAGCTCCATCAATGAAGGTGACAGATGGCAAGGAACACAAACTACAGTGCAGGGAGTGGGGGTGGTGTGGGGGTGGTGTTAGGGTGCTAGTGGGTAGGGGTGTGGGGAGGGTGTTCAACTAAAGCTTCAACAAATATTTCTTCAGCATGGGCATGTACACTGCACATACATTGAAACTGTCATGTCCTCCATAAACAGAATTAAGTGATCTGAAGGCTGGCAAGGGAGCGATATACTATGAAAGACAAAAAACAAAACTTAATTTAACTAGGCAACAGCAAGGGATGAGTACATTTGGGAGTGAAAGATGGTCAGGGCGCTTCACTGAGACAGCAAACTCATGGGAAAACTCATGGGAGACTTTTTGCCAAGCCTTTGCCAATCAAAGAAGTTCCTTTCTTCATCTGCCCATCACCATCACCACCTCTCCCCCCCTCGGAGTGGGAGAAGCAGCCTGAGACTACCAAATGAGGTCGGCGGGAGAGATAGAGTGCCACTGCCCCATAGTCAGTACACATTTTTTTTCCCCCTCTAGTGTCTGTAACCAAATTTATCCCTGAAGTCCAGGTAAAGGAATCAGGGCCCATGAGTCACATGCTGCTGTGGCAGCCTTTTGGGCCAGTGTCTGCCATGGGTTGGGCAGGCACTGAATTTGACACAGCTGCAGTAGTAAATACACATATTACCATGCCATTAAAAATGATGAAATCATGCCTTCTGAAGCAATTTGGATCAAACCTGAGGTTAGGGAAATAAGTCAGAAAGTAAAACACACTTAGTTTCACTCATCTATAGATTATAGAAAGTCAAGCAAATAGACTCTGAACATATGGTTCCAGGAGAGAAAGAACAAGGAGGATGGGAGGAATGGCTCATTTTGATAGTGAAGGCACTGACTTCTTGGAGGGGAGGGGAGGCGGTTGTGGCAAGAACCACTTCACAGAGGAAGGAAATGCACACCTCACATATTATGGTGTTGGAAACCAATGGTAAATTAACATGTTGACACTGGCATGCACCACTGGTGGCTCACACTTGGATGAGGCCTAATTAACATACTGCAGTGCTGGCATTGTGCTAATAAAATTTAATTAAACAAAAATGACCTGCACATAATGCAGACAGGGAGGGATGCGGAGGCACTCTGAGGAGTGTTAGAGCTAAAAGTTGACCCCGGGCCAAGAGAAGCCACAAGTTCTAGTCAGAAAACCTGTAGAACTTGTGGACATTTTTAGTAGAATGATGTGCTAGAAGTATAAGTAAAGAAGCATGAAATGGTGGGTACGCTGGGAGAGAGGTGGGTGAACAAGGAAGGAATCCCCATGATGGCCTGAAACACACAGCAAGTGCTGAGGCCCAGAGCATGTGTCTGGCCTTTCCTGCTGGAAAAGGGCACAGAAAGTGGCTGCAGAGGAAGGAAAGAAGGTGACAGGGAGGGTCTGAGGTAGCAGTGGGCCAGAAGGAAGTTAGGTTACAGGAGGAGGGCTGAATAATAGCGATGTGAGGCAAGGACTGGGAAAGAAGAGTAATTCCAGCGACAGGCCAGTGAGTCCAGGAGCTCCTTCTGGCTCCTCTTCTTAGCAGTAAATACCAACCCCGGAGCCAGGCATCCCAGCTGCAGGTAGGAATGACTGGCTGGCGATGGGGGCGCCCAGTCACTGAATCAAACCTTGAAACAAGTTTCTTGGTGAATGGCAGCACCATCTTGCCCCTGAACCCATCCAGACCCAAGAGTCAAATGAATTCTCCAAATTTTCCTGCCTGTGTTGAATGGGCTAGCCAGATCTCTACATTTAATTCCTGAAAATTCCTTATTCCTCCTTAAAATGATATATGCTACCTGCAAGTCACATCACATAGAAAAGCACAACGTATGTAAAAACCATGATGAATCCCCCTCCTGGATAGCGCTAGTTAACTCTGTAAGATCTTGGCTTCTCTTTTTTTTTTTTTTTTTTGCTTTTTGGGTCATACCCGGCGATGCACAAAGGTTACTCCTGGCTCTGCACTCAGGAATTACCCCTGGTGCTGCTCAGAGGACCATATGAGATGCTGGGAATCGAACCCGGGTCAGCCAAGTGCAAGGCAAATGCCCTACCCGCTGTGCTATTGCTCCAGCCCCAAAGTCACATTTATTTAGTTTTGTTTGCAGGTGATTAATCTGTCAAGTGATCAACTGATTAATCTACTCTCAGCTCAGTGCTTGGGGTCACTCCTGGCAATGCTCAGAGGATCATGTGGTCCTGGGGATCTAATTCTCTGATGCACATGCAGAAGCATGTACATCAGTTCCATGAGGCCCCTCCCTGGTCTTCTCACCATTTTAATTTTTTCATTTTGGGGTCACACCCAGCAGTGCTCTGGGATTACTCCTGGCTCTAGACTTATGAATTACTCCTGGTGGGATCAGGGGACCAACTGAAATGCCAAGGTTTGAACCAGGGTGGGCTGCTTGTAAAGCAAGCATCCTACTTGTTTCACTGTCTCTCCAGTCCATCCTTACCATTTTAGAGGCTGTTCTGTTCTGTTCTATCTTGTTCAAAATTAACCTGATGAGGTTACGAACCCTTACTGATGGATGTTTATGTGGATTTCTGAGCCTGTAACATTATAAGCAATCCTGCTTATGGTGAATATTCTTTTTGGTTTTCGTTTTTGGGCAACACCTGGCAATGCTCAGGGCTGATTCCTGGCTCTGCACTCAGGAATTACTCCTGGTGGTACTTGGGAAACCATAAGGGATGTCAGGGATCGAACTCAGCAAAGAAAATGCTGTACCTGCTGTACTGCGGCTCCAGCCCTGATGGTGAATATTCTTATGCAAATATCTTTTCACAGCTGGGCCTCTAAGGTGTTAATTCATATATTTCCAAAGTTCTTTCCAAGAGGGTTCAAACTGTATTCCCACAACAGGATGTCAAGATGTCCATTTTCAGGCACGTGTGTAAGCAGGCACACTCATCTCTTTCCACCTGTCTCCAGTGGACTCCAGATTCAAACACCCAGTTGCCTTTACCACATCTGCTCACAGATGTCAGACATTCACTCAGGGTTCACATGTCCAAAATTAAACTCACAATTTGTTCCCCCTGTCATTTACCCCAAATTTTCTACCAGTTGATCTTTCCTCCCTTTTTTTCTCACCCTTCCACTCCAATACTCAGCAAGCCACATAGTCACTTTGGGCAGGATCTATTCAGAGCTGTCTGGCACCACTCCAGGGACAGCACACCCCCAGAACTGCATTAGCCTCCGAATGGTCTTGCCACCCTCCTAATGAGTGCCCCACCGCACCCCACTGCACAGGGAGCCCATTAGACTTCTAAGTGATATCACGTCACTGCTCATGGGAGTCATCTAACCTGGAGTAAAACTCAGAATTCCTGACCCAGGCCTTCAAAGTTCTTGAGCCTGACAGCAGAACAGAATCATTTTCTAGGCAACTTTTAAAAATGCACATTCTGAAAGGGAAGAGGTGGTAAGACCAGGTTTGATCTGTGGCTCATGGTCCTGAACACAGCCAGGAGCAACCCTAAACACAGAGCTGGGAGCAGCCCCTGAGCACTGCCAAGTATGGTCCAAGCTCCACCTCATATCTACCCCCAAGCTAATTCTGACTCCCTTTCTCATGAAACTTGAAGAGAATCTTCGGGTACCAGGATTTTTAATAAAAGCATCTCAGGATAGATGCTTCCTCACCTGGCACCAAACTGACTTTATCCAGGGCATCTCAGAGCAGGGGCGGGTGAGCCCATCACCTGCCCCAACAAAGCCCCAGCAGCTGAAAACCTTCAGAACCCAAATGCTGCCTTGCCCATGGCCGATCTTCACAGGCTTGAGATGAGCCCCTCACGCATGAGAATGAATCCACTGAAAAACCCAGGTATGCAGGTTTTGTGACTGAAATCTCCAGACTTGCACAGAGTCAGGGATGGGCAACTCTCCCCTCATCTCCCTGAATTTCCAGGAGCCTGGCAGTCAAACCCACGAACTGCCTTTGGGTACCATAGAAGTTCATTAGTAGCCATGATCCAGAGATTCACAAATAAATCTCGGAGGAGAGCAACATGCTGTAGAGAAGCCTTCCAGTCCCCCAAATCACAATCCAGTTAAAATTTAACTCCAGCTCTATCTATTTAAAACTTTAGAATCCCTGGAACAATACCTTATACTTTATGCCACTGACGTATCAAGAGTAGCACACCACATTTACACATGGGGTGTAAAGCAGAAGGCAACTGATCTTGATTTAAAAAATACACACACACACACACACACAGTTTTTACAGTTTCTTCTAAGTAAACATTTCAGATCTTTTTTAGTGGATTATTCATAAACATGGGCTGGAGCGATAGCACAGCGGTAGGGCGTTTGCCTTGCACGCAGCCAACATGGCCGACCCGAGTTCGATTCTTCCACCCCTCTCGGAGAGCCCAGCAAGCTGCCGAGAGTATCTTGCCCGTATGGCAAAGCCTGACAAGCTCCCCGTGACGTATTCGATATGACAAACACAGTAACGAGTGTCACAATAGAGACGTTACTGGGCCCACTGGAGCAAATCGATGAACAACGGGAGGACTGTGACTGACTGTGATTCATAAACAAGCAATACAAAATAATTTAGGATTTGGCTTTGGGGCATGCTTGTGTGGTGGTGGGAAAATTCGAAATGGCGGTGGGAGTGATGTTGAAATACTGAATGCAATTATTACAAAAATTTTTTTAAAAAGCTTCTAAGGTGTCCGAAGTATGTGGTTAGACTGTAAACACCTACATTCCATAGACCCCAGTGGCGTCCACCTACCTACTCCTTCCTGCTTCCCTTGCCAGTCCTCAGCCAAAATTTCTCCTGGTATTTCCCACTCCTCCAAAACCCTCTGTCTCAGGACTTTGCACTACTGTTCCTTCTTAAAATGAGGATGTATTTTTCTCAGATGGCCACGATGGCTTGTGTGCTTCCGCCTCACAGTTTCCCAGTCGAACACCACTGTAGTGGTTTGTTCAGCAGAGACACTTCCAGACAAGGCTTCTCTCCTTTGCAAAGCAGCAGCTCCCTTTACTACACCCTGTCCCTATCCCTCTCCTAATATGCTCTGAAGTCTTCTGCTTTTTGTCTCCATCTGAAGGTGAGCCCTCAAAGCATGGGCCCTATTCAGCTCATTCACTGTCACTGCCTCAGAATCGACACAGAGCCTGGTATCTACTAACTGTTCAATAAATATGTTAAATGGAAAAATTCAATTTCATGGATCTGATGATATCTATAAAAATTATAGATATTTCTTTTCATAAAATCCATTCATACCCCATAAAGTTTATTTTAAAGAAAATAAATAAATGACGTTGAGAGTAACACTTGTGTTAAAAAGAATTCAAGGGCCCAAAGATTCTACAGGGGTTAAGATGCTTTCCTTGCATGTGAATTACCCTGCTGTGATTGCTGGCACCACCCATCACTCCCCAGACACATCCAGGAGTGAATACTGGGCACAGAGCCAGGAGTAAGCCCTGAACACTGCTAGGTGTCACTCCAACACCTCCACTCTGCCCTTCCCCAAAAATAATACATACTCAAGTTAGCCAGAGAGATAGCAGGGGTTAAGATGCTTATTTTACATGCAGACAACCCTGGTCAATCTCCCACACTACATGATTCCCAGAGATCAGCAGGAGTGGTCCCCTAAACACCCTCCCTTCAATGTGTTCAAAGCAACATAAATCAGATGTGATTTAGCAGCCTAAAAACGTTATTAATTAAAACATCCATAACACTTTTCTAGACAAACTAAGCATCATTTTTAGGTACTCACGTGCAAGGCAAACACCCTACCCACCGTGCTATCACTCCAGCCCCACATTCTTACTTTTCTGATCTTAAATGAAAGACTGGGGAAGACTTTGACATGGTAGATTTCTCTGGAACTACTTTCTCACACAGTCTCAATTTTATGTATTGACCCAGAGGTGAAAGTAGAAAACCCTCCATTCCTAAACTACTCACAAATGTTAGCCATATCTCACTTTGCTTTCTTAAAAACAAAACTTCATTCTCTTCAATGCTGAAATAGATTAAGAGTGAAACACAAAACCAAACTCAGACTTGTTCTCTTGGGGGGTATTCAGTGAATGTCCACTGTGAGCTCCATTTTGCTGTTTACAGACTGCTGCCTAGGGCTTTTAAGGGATGTATTTATGAAAGTTCCACCCAGCAAACAATAAGCACCTCAGAAAGGACTTCAAGCATACTCCATTCCTCAACTCTCCTAAACCATAAACGGCACTGGACAAGAAGGCTGAGGCGGGTTACCTGTGTGTGTTCGTAGATGTTTCTTTAGCTGAGATACATCCATGAATTTGCGATGGCAGTGGTTACATTCCGGTAATGTGTGGCCTTGTCGCAATAATAAAAAAAGTGTCAGTGCATATATGCTCTCCCTGCATTTCTTCAGTGATCTGTGTTAAAGCACTTCCCTGAAAAATAATCACTTTAAATATGGTGCTTTAATGAAACAACAGTAATTTTTATAATTCACCTGGTAATAGTCATTATTTTCCTATATATCTCAGTATTTTGTTTCCCCAAGAGACTGGGACCCATTCAGTCTCCCTAAATGTAATCTCATCTTTCCTCAAAGGTCTCATGTGCCGACTGGCTGATTACAAATTATGCTCTCAAGCCCTCCTCTCACCCCCACTCATATCATACTGTTGGCAGAGCAGACAATGGACAGAGGCATATGCAAATAGACTGGTCTAAAGGCTACGGTGGCGGCAGGTGATATGGTCCAGGCACAAAAATAAGCAGTCAACTGGCACCTTCCTTGTCAGAGGTACTCTGGAAAAATACCAATTCCATAACGTTCCTGGGTGGGACTGAAAACGGTCACGTTTTATTAAATACAGGGCCTGGACTTAGCTCAATGGGAGATTACATGCCCTGCACATGGGAGGCTCTGGGTTAGGTTTCCCAGGCCCCCCAACCTCCAATTAAACATACACACTAAGAATAACACATGAAATTTTTATTTAGGTGGATTTTTATGACTCTGTTGTCCACAAACTATCTTCTACACTACGAAACTAATATTTCAGAAATTCACAAATATACTGCATTTGCATTTCTTCCCCACCTATCAAAAATTTCTCTCCCTTTAACTGTACCTGTATGAACTCGGTAATGGCTCTTTAATTGTCGTTTCTGGCTGAAATATTTCCCACACTGATCACAGGTAAAAGACTTCTGTCCTGCCAAATAAAGCACAAAACACTAAAGCATTCCATCAACTACGAAGAACTAGTAAGGTCACTACTAAGGCAAAACAGCACAGCAGGCGCTTCCCATCTTCCATAGATGACACCGTGACTGCCATAAATGTCAGTCTATGTCTCCAGTGTCTATCAGAATCTGAGAAATATGCAAAGGTTTGCAGGTAGAATCGAAGGACAAAAAAATTCAAAGGATAAAATTCAAAGACATCCAGAGGAAAATAACTCCAGTCTCTAGAGGGTAAAATATTTTTGCACACTGAACTTCCAGCAGCCAGTTTATAAGCTTCAGTGTAAGATTAGAGGCTGAGCTACACGTCAAACTGCCCTCTGACATAAACTATAATCTGGTCTCCCAACTCTGCGTGGGGGAGGATACTAAGCTAAGCAAGGACCACTTAGATCATGGGAATGCTCGCCCCACCCCAATCCCTGCCAACATGGGACCCTAATGCCAGTCACCCCTGTTACCTGAGTGGAGACTCATGTGCTCCAGCAGCGAGTGCTTGGTGGTGAGAGCTTTGTTGCAAACGGTGCAGGTGTATGGCCTCTCGCCTGTGTGCATCCGGGTGTGGACCTGCAGGGAATGCTTCTGGGCAAAGCCTTTTCCACACTCATTGCATTTGAAAGGTCGCTCCCCTGGAAGAAGAGCCCCAGAAGGATGGTGTAAGCAAGATCCTGTTCATCTTTCTGCTCCTTCCTAAATTTAAAGGACAACATACAAGTTTCTCTTAAAAGGCACAAACCCAAAAAAGCACTTCATGGGAGAGGCATTAGCAGTACAATTCAGCAAGCTGGAACAGAGAACTCTGATACCCATTCTGAACTGACAGGCTCATTTAAGACAGAGCCCCCTAAAGGTTCTGTCACCCCAGCCCCTTCTCAAGACTCCTATTTCCTGAAGTCAGGGTCTGCCTCTGGCCAACAAAAGATGCAGAATGTTCTCTGAAGAGGTAAGACACAGCATCTATGGAGCCAGGGTTTCCAGATTGCAGGTCCAATGGCAGAGAAGCAGGGAGAGCCAGTCAAAGTGTAAATGGGAGAGCATGAGGTGCTCTCCACCGTGCAGCCCAAGGAAGCAGAGCTTCTAAAGATGAAGTGGAGAGGCTGAGAGACACTTTGCCAGGCTTCTGCAAGAAGCAGGTACCATCCACACCACCTCCAGCAAGGCTTCTGTTGACGCCTCTATCCACACCTGCAAGCTACCAGTAGAGTTTAATCATTAATTTTGAGGGTGGGGTGGGAAGGTTTAAGCCACACCTGGCTGTTCTCAGGGATCGCTTCTGACAGGTTTTGGGGCCATATGTGATGCTGCGGATTGACCTGGGTCAACTGAATTCAAGGAAAAAGCCCTGCCAGTTGTATGGTCTCTTGGCCTCTGGTTTAATCATTCTTGCATATGGCTAATTCTTAACTTTTGTTTTTGGGCCACTCTGGCTCTGTATTCAGGGATCATTCCTGGTGATGCTCAGGGGACCATACGTCATTAACAGGAATCAAACTGGAGTCAGCTGTATGCAAGGGAAGTGCCTGGGGCTAGAGAAAGACTAAGGTGCTTAAGACACTTGCTTTCCATATGGCTGACCTCAGTTTGATCCCTGGTTCCACATAATGGTCCCCTGACAATGGCCAGTGATCCTGGGAAACAGATCCTGGAGTATGCTCATGTGGCTTTCCCACCCAAAGGGTGGTCGTCTGTTGAAGCAGATATCTAAACAGGCAAGAAAGGGATATAAGGAAAAGAGACATCCAGGGTGAAGAAAACATTAGAAAGATAAAAGTGGGGGACAGAGTGTGGTTCAAGAGGTAGAGCCCATTGAAAGAAAACAGACCCACACTCATTTTTGGCTACAAAAATCCCAGAATTGAGGGGGAAAAAAGATTCTCTATGCTATTTTACCTAAAAGTCTTATAAAACTAGCTATATTTTGAAATGAGGTGGGAGGATTGCATACCCAGCTGTGTTCAGTGCTTATTCTAGGCTCTGTGTACCTGGGGGTGCTCAGAAGACCATAGGCAATGTCAGAGATCAAACCAGGATCAGCTACTTGCAAAGCAAGTGCCTTAACCTCTGCATTAACTCTCTGGCTTCTACAACTCTTTAAACCAGTGTCTCCCAACCATGGCCCACATGTTCCTTCAGTGGGCCCTCAGGATACTTCAAGTCAGTGGTGAAAATCATGGCATATGATTGGGTGGGGGCAGTAGGATGGGAGGCACAAGGAAACAAGGTTGGAAGGGGGGGCCACAGTCTAAAAAGAGATGGAGAAACACTGCTTTAACTGTCCTCTATTACAGTTCAACAAATCTTTCTTATAGGTCTACTAAAATTCAAGGCTCACAATCAAATTATCAGTACTTAAAATCTACAGGGAGCTTTGAAAACACTACTGGAATGGGGAATTTGATGCAAAGAGCTTAATGGAGGCCCAGGTTCCATACCAGGGTCTGTGCTGGGTGCTACCCCAGATCACAGAGCCAGAAACAGCCCTGGTATCACCAGGTGTGGCTCCCAAATTCAAAGATCTAAAAGCACCTCTACTCTAATTAATCAGAAGCTGAGGTTGGGCCCCACCAGATGTCTCAGATGCTCACTAAGTGACTCTATGATGTGGCCAGGTGGAGAAACACAGCGCTAGATGCTCCTGGGTTTTCTGGCCAGGTCACTGGCTGAGAGATTTAGGCCCAGTCCCTAAACTAAGGCTGACAATGGAATCAAGGAACACTTAAATGGTAGTGACCCAGAACAAAGGGATTAAGAGGTGGCTGAAAGAAAGGTTAATTCTGACTCTTGGTCTATACTCTCCAATATGGTGGCCCCTTCATTAAAATAAAATATTTTTAGTTTCTTTCTCACATTCATCCCAGGGTCAAGTACTCAAAATTCATGTGGCTTGTGGTTACCACATATCAGACAGTGCAGAGAGAACATTCCCATCACTGCAGAAGGGACTAAAGAGGAGAGGCCACTTAAGCCAGATGACTAAGGGAGAAAGCTAAGTGGACAGCCGTGGTCAAGCTCAGGCAGCAACAGGAGTCAGAAAGGGCAATTTGTCTAGCACTTGCCACTTGGACATGAAAGCCTTGAGCCTTACACTCCAAATAAGAAAAGTGATTCTGCAATGACGATACCAGGTTCTCATCCCAGGTGTCCCCAAATGGAAGATTTGGGCTGATTAACTTTCGAGGAGTCAAGCTCTTCCTCTGTCCACTGGAGTCATTCCTTATCTCCTGAGACTACTGTGAGAATTAAATGTAGTAACATGTCTAAAGGCTTTATTATAATCCCCATTGCACAGAAGTTGTGCCATAAATGAAAGCCATGATTAGTGTTATTTCCCTGGAACACATTCCAATTTGTGGGGAAAGCATAATTACCCGTGTGGCTCCGCTGGTGGATTGCTAAAAAGTGATTATACTTAAAGACTTTGCCACAGTCTTTACAACGGGCCTCGGGGCCGCCAGGGCGCTTTCTCTTTCCATAGACCTTCTTGGCTGGGCCTTGGTCATCTTCATCCCCGACAAGTTTGTAATCTTTCAGTTTGACGGATCTGCGGATCCTTCGCTTGCTGTACCGACTCTGGCTGTCTTGCCTGTCCTGCGTCTTGGGATCACAGTTCTCATCTTTTTCTGCAGATACTTCCTCCCTTCTGCCTGGCTCAAAAGCGGCTTCAGATGTTTCCAACACTTTTGCTAGAATCTGTTCATTCACTGGCTCCCCATCTTCTTCTTTTACCACAAAGTTTTGTCTGTTCTGAACAGAATTGTTCACTCTCAGCTGTATATCTTCCTCAACTGCCAGGTCTGATTGTTTCTCCTGCAAACTGTTGACTTTTCTTGGTCTTCCCCGTTTCCGCTTTGGAGGATCGTTTTTCTTATTAGAAATTACCACCACTGGAGCACCAGCAGTGTTCAAAGCTGTTGGCTTGTGGGAACTGTGATTATTCTGAAAGTCTGCATAGGCCGTCACCAGGTCATAGACTTTTAGGAACTGAGCAGTGGCCAGGATTTGCTCTGTACTTTTCTCACTGGCCTGGAGACAACCTGTGTAGATAAAGTCTAGCAGGATACCAAAGGTATCGGCCACCATGCCTTCCAACATATAAATGGACTGGCCAATCTCCCCCTCTTCAGCAAACATCATTGAGAAGTATTCACTACTGGCAGCAAGTAAAGCTTTATGGGCCCGGAAATGCACATTTTCCACAATTAACGTGATGTCACAGAGAAATCCTTTCTTCCTCTGATCTTCAAAACAGGCCAAGACCTTGTCACTGTGAGTATCTGAACGGACAACAAGCTGTCCAGTTGGCTCTAGTGTTTCTGCCATTTTCCTTAGAAGTCCAGGAGTACACCTGAAATAATAAAATAATGTATAAAAATGTTAGAAAAACACTCTAAGAAAGTTAAAATTTCAGTCCAAAAATCTTTTCCCCTTTTCAGAGAGCCCGGCAAGCTACCGAGAGTATCTCGCCCCCACGGCAGAGCCTGGCAAGCTCCCCGAGACGTATTCGATATGCCAGACACAGTAACAACAAAGTCTCCAATGGAGACGTTACTGGGCCTGCTCGAGCAAATCGATGATCAACGGGAGGGCCTTTACTTTACTTTTCCTTTTAATGTTGTAAAGGATTGAACCCCGACAACAGAACATACGTCTCACACAGATAGGCAAGACATATATGTTCTATTGCTGAGGGCACCCTGGCACCAGTCGAGACCATTTTCAACTGTTGAGGCAAAACAAACACAAAACCCAGCTTTGGGTTCTCACTCCAGGTGTAGTGATTCCTCACAGGGAAGCAACATCCAACGCCTAAGTTGGCCTGTCCTGAGGGTGTTTTCCCCTATCCAGGGGTAGGGGTGGGGGGGTAGAGGTAAGTGGGACCCACCACCTCTCAAGTGCTTCCCGGCAGGAACTTTCCAGAGACGCACACCTGAGGCTGATTAGCCTCTCTAGCTTGTGCTCGCATCCTTAGCCATTTTGTCTGGGAGTCGAACACGAAAAGGGTCAAGACCGAAACCACTCACAAGTGCGAGGCGCACGGGCGGGGTTGGGCGCAATAACACACCTATAATGGAAGGTTCCCCGGGCCGGCGGCCTCCCCGGGGGCTGGCGGTGGGAGGGGACAGAGGACGCGCGGCGTGGGGCGACGCAGCGGCCCCTGCCTCAGGCCCCTCGGGCCGGCGGGATCCGAGTGCGGTTGTCAACGCGGTGAGCCCCAGGTCCGCTTACCTCTCGGGGGCGCCGTGCGGGGTCCGAGTCGCGATCGACTCACCCGATGGCCTGGCTGGCTCTGAGGCGCCGGGCCCCGCCGAGCCGGCAGCCGGATCTCCGCGCCGCTGCCGCCGCCAACCCGGAAGCGCTGGCGCCGGGAGCAGCCTGTGCGCGGCGGCCAGACCACGTGGCCACGGGGCCGCCCCGGGCCGGCCGGGGGGCGGGGCCTGAGGCCCCACGCAGGCTCCCCGGGACGCCCCCACCCACTCTCTGGAGCGCGTCAACGTGGAAGACGCAGATGGGCAATCCTGGCCATGTCCCCCTGTTGTTTCGTCGGTTTTAGGTCCTAGGCTTTCTGTCAGAGGTTTCTCAGGGATCCCGTTCTCAATTTGGTTTCTCCCCCTGGCTTCTGAAGCTGTTTGAGGACTCAGATCTGTGGCAAATGAATGATGTCACCTGTACATCATCAACAGCTCCGTCATTTCCATCATCATCTTCCTCATCTAATGGATATCTTCCTCATCGAATTTGGCTTACCAACCTCTTTCCTCCAGGAAATGTACCGGAAGCCAAGAAATGGAAAATACACCTCCAGACTCCCTTCTCACCACAATCGCACCCGAGGAGATTATGCCTCCCCCCCCCCCCCCATATGCCATCGCCCACTTTGGGAAGCCCTAAAGCTTCCCATAATAATATTGTAATAATAATAATTCATTTACTTAATGTTTTTCACATTTGTTTTCTTTTCTCTGCAAGTTCAGTGCTTTAGTCTTACAGGAATGGAAGAGAGCGCCTTTAGTTAGATCTGGACGCTGAGCCACACTGGCCTTCTCAGCCTTGTTTACCTGACCTGTAAAATGGAAATGTTAGTGGCAGAATGTTAATGCTAGTGCTTTAGGTTGCTGTGGGGTAAAGATGATGATGGTATAAAGCTTGTGAAGGGATTAGTTAAGTGCCCGGTCTACTATGTTTATTTCATGTCTGTTATAATTAAAATAATTGTTATTTATTCTTATTTAGTCTTTTATCATCTTTGTTCAACCGGTGATTAAGATAATGTAACTAGATTTTGTGGCAGTGTAACCCCTTCAAGTACACAGCAGTATGGAAGATCGCTCACTTGGCTTGGAATTCTTTGTTGTTCCTATAGGAAAAATGATAAGCTTCTCCCTTAAGCCCATCCTATTTCTCACTTTAACCATTCCATCACTTTGTTCTGTTTATGTTTAATCAGATTTAAAAGGCCCCTCCCGTTGATCGTCGATTTGCTCGAGCGGGCCCAGTAACGTCTCCATTGGAGACTTTGCTGTTACTGTGTCTGGCATATCGAATACTCTCGGTAGCTTGCCGGGCTCTCCGAGAGGGGCGGAGGAATCGAACTCGGGTGGGCCATGTTGGCCGCTTGTAAGGCGAACACAACATGGCCGACCCGAGTTCGATTCCTCCGCCCCTCTCGGAGAGCCCGGCAAGCTACCGAGAGTATTCGATATGCCAGACACAGTAACAGCAAAGTCTCCAATGGAGACGTTACTGGGCCCGCTCGAGCAAATCGACGATCAACGGGAGGGCCTTTACCTTTACCTTAATCAGATTATACAAACAAAAACATGCAGATCCAGTTGAACTTGAATTTTAGATATAAATGAGGAATATAATATGCGACTTTCTATCATATTTTTCTATTAATAGAGCAAATTCATGTTACTCTATGAGAATTAAATTGAACTCATCATCTGTTCAGTTTGACAACCCTCAATCTGATATCTGACAATATGGGAAGTTAAGATTACTTGAAAATTACCTTGAAAAACATTTTCATTACAAGCAGCAAGGAACAACAACAGGAATGGGAAGTAAGGAAAACCCAGGGACCCCCAAAATTTGATGGAATTAAAATTAGTATAGTCAACTAACGTGGATCCAGTAAAATCTCAGAGGCCCTTAAGCAGAACCGGAGGTTTGGGTTTTAGTACATGATTGCAACAGCAGCTAAAAGGCAGGGTTTGGAATAGAGAACTTTCCACAGAAATCAGGACCCTGAAACGAGTTAATAAGTCTGCTTGAAAGAATGGACTAAATATCCTTGATATCAACCCCTTGTCGGATGTGTATTTGGTGAATATCCTTTCCCATTCTGTAGGCTGTCTTTGTATTTTGGTCACTGTTTCTCTTGAGGTGCAGAAGCTTCTTAGTTTAAGATAGTCCCATTTGTCTATCTCTGTTTTCACTTGCTTGACCAGTAGCGTGACATCTTTGAAGATACCATTAGCTTCAATATCATGGAGAGTTTTGCCAACTTTGTCTTCAATAAACGTTATGGATTCCGGTAAATGCTCTACATCACTAATCATCAGAGAGATGCAGATCAAAACAACAATGAGATATCATTTCACACTACAGAGACTGGCCCACATCCACAAGAACAAAAGCAACCAATGCTGGCGCGGATGTGGCGAGAAAGGGACCCCCCTCACTGCTGGTGGGAATGCCGGCTGGTCCAACCCTTTTGGAAAACAGTATGGACGATTCTCAAAAAATTAGAATTTGATCTGCCATTTGACCCAGCTATAGCACTCCTGGGAATATATCCCAGAGAGGCAAAAAGGTATAGTTGAAGTGACATCTGCAATTGTTTGTTCATTGCAGCACTCTTTACAATAGCCAGAATCTGGAAAAAAACCTGAGTGCCCGAGAACAGATGCCTGGTTAAAGAAACTTTGGTACATTTACACAATGGAGTACTATGTAGCTGTTAGAAAAGACGAAGTCATGAAATTTTCATACAAGTGGTACTACATGGAAAGTATCATGTTAAGCGAAATGAGTCAGAAAGAGCGGGATAGACACAGAAAGATTGCATTCATCTGGGGAACATAAAGCAACAAAAGGGGACACTAACACCTAGGAATGGCTGAGATTAGTACCAGGAATTTTGCTCCATGACTTGAAGGCCAGCCACACGTGCTAGGTGAAAAGGAAGCTCAGATAGAGAAGAGAGCACCAAATAAAGGGTGTTGTGAGGACCCTCCCAGGGTGGGAGAAGCATGCTAAAAGTAGTCTATAGACCAAACATAATTGCCACTCAATGCCTCTCTTGCAAAACACAGTACCCAAAAGAAGAGGGCGAGAACAAGGGGGAATGCCCTGCCACAGAGGCAGGGTGAGACGGGGGTGGGGGGGTGGGGGAGAGGGATGGGGGGTGGGAGGGATGCTGGGACCCGTGGTGGTGGAGGATGGGCACTGGTGGAGGGATGGGTACTTGATCATTGTATAACTGAAACCCAAGCACAAAAATTTATAAGTCTATAACTGTACCTCATGGTGTTTCACTAATTAAAAAAATTGTAAAAAAAGAAAGAATGGACTGAAGAAAATCTGCCTGTTGGCGTGCAGGGAGGTAGAGGGAGAGGGAGGGAGGAAAGAAGGAAGGCAGAGAGAGAGAGAGAGAGAGAGAGAGAGAGAGAGAGAGAGAGAGAACCTGTATCGTCTTGGTCTTGATTTTAGGTGTGGTGAAAGTTGACTCAGATCATTTATAATGATCACTTTTCACAAAATCCTCCTAGAGATTAAAATGAAATAAATTAAAAAATGAGTGAATATCTCAATAAAAATGTGCGCATAAGTATACACAAAACTCCATAACAGGTTAGAGAGATTGCAATTTTACTATCTAGAGTAGGTTCTTCAACCACAGGTCAGTGCACTTGTGCCAGTCCCTGGGTAAAGAAAGGTTGAAAAATCACAGGTGAACAGCCCTAGTTATAACAAAGGTAGTTTTATTTCTTCCCAATCAACATACCTCTTACTTTACACTTTGTTTTATTGTAATAACTAGAAATTCTGGTATGAAGTTGAAAGAGTGGTGAGAAAGTGGTGAAAAAAATAGTGGTGAGACACAAGATCTCCTTGTCTTGTTTCCTGATCTTAATGGAAGAATTTCTAGTTTTCTACAACTGAATGTGATGTAATTTGTAGATTTTTGTAAATGTGCTTTACCAAGTCGAGGAAGTCTCCTTTATTCAGAGTTCATGAAGGGTTTTGTGTTGAAAGGATATTGAATATTGTCAAGTGCCTTTTTTCTAAATCTGTTGGATAGGACCTTGTGATTCTTCTTTTAACCTTCTAGCATGATGGATTACATTGATTATTTACTGTTGAATCAGCCTTACATAGTCAATAAACTCAGGTAGTTGTGGTGAATAATTCTTTTAATACTTGTTGGGTTAAATCTGATGATATTTTACTGAGAAATCTTGCAATTTCACAATTTCCACAAGTGATATTGGACTGTGTTTGTAAGGTGTCTGTCTAGCTTTGGTACTAAAATAATGCTCACTCCACATCTGTTCCACACAGGGAAGGGGAAGTAGGTGTCTGTTTCTGTTTTATCTTTCACTCTAGTCTGATGGATTTCATATTAGATATAGGAATGCTTGCAGGTAGGAACATAACTGTCTAACAGGATTGTGGAATTTAGGCATTTAATTCCTGGTATGCTAACCCTCTAGTTAGGATTCACTTGTATTTGTTTCTCTAAATTTATCTTCTTTGATTCTGAAAGTTTCTCTTTAATCAGATGTTACGATTCTAATAATTCTCCC